CCCCCCCCCCCCCCCCCCCAAAAAAAACATAAAAGCGGCCAATGGACGGCTGAGATTAATTGTGAGGGTCAGAATGGCGCAGATGACGTTCTTTGGAGGGTGAGCTTGTTGCAGCCTTTGTGAGCTTCTACCTCTTGACGTAGCTGTTCATTAATAATTTAAATTTCAAAATAATATATAAATAGTGTGAATATAATTATCCTCATAAATTTGATCACTAATTAAATAAATTAAATTGACATGATATATTTAAACAAAAATGATAATATTATATCTGTTTTATATACCTAGTACTTTCAAAATACTATTTTATCTAATCATAAATATATTTTATAAATTCTATTTAATTATGATAATGAAGCGTAAAATGTAGACAAATTTTTGATGTGTATGTGACACACTCATAGATATTAGCACATATCATAAATGGAAACTAAATCTTTCGCACAAACATTCTTTAAACAGCTAATAAGCTCATTCAGGAAATCTATATGAAGGAATAATTATAGCATTTTCCCTTTTTGGGCACCACCTATATATATCATGCAAATACCCTTTTCTACCCCAATTTAATTTACCTAAAGAGGACTTCATCAATGTATGTTCATGTACCAAGTATATATATGTGTGTGTCTATACATATACATATACATACATACATACATACATATACATACATATATATATATATATATATATATATATATATATATATACCTCCCAAAAAACCCTAAAATAAAAATCTTTATTTCTTTTTTGGAGACGCACCACACAAAATGATTTTTCATTTCAGTTTTGAAAACTTTCTTAAGATTCACAATTTTTATTTCTCATCAGCAATATTTTCAACGACACAATTGTATTTTTTCTTAAATTTTGGTACCAAACCAAAACAGAAGTTTTTCTTTCTTATTTTTTTTAAAAAAAAATCCCACATTAAATTAACATCATAGTGTCTCGCAAACATACATAATAAACAATTATTATCTATACATGTCTATAAGATATTGGCTTTGTTTGGTAACAGCCTTTTTGATTAGCGTTAGGATTTTAGATAAAATTTTAACAGTGCAGATTAATTCTGAAAACGCTAACGCTAAAGGCTACCGTCGGATAGCTTTTTCAAAACGCTAACGCTAATCTCTGACGCTGATGCCAAACGGTGTCATTATAGTGTCAATTGTCAAATGTGAAGTTCTCCTAGATTTTGATGCCAGTTATTAACTCAATAAAAAACTCAAAGTTATAGTTATATACCCAAAAAATGTATGTATGTATGCATGAATGAATGTATGTATGAATGCATGTACCCTTTCATATTGTTTATTGAGCCTTGCATTCTCTTTCAAGAGGATTGCCACTTCTGTCTCCAACGCTTCTGTACGAGCCTGCACATATATAATATATTTGTATGATGTCATGCATGTCAGTACACATATACATATACATTGACATATACATACACAGCACACTACAGAGAGTGACTTTCCTCTTTTCTGGCTCTTGAACGGGCGGCAGCCTCCCGGTTCTTCATCATCCGCACATGCCTCTTGTCGACGGAGTCATGATGAACCCTCCTTCTCCTTCTCCTGTCGGGTCCCGCCGGAGGCAGCCCGTCGAAGCTGCCGTCGGAGGAGGCGGAGTACGGCGGCTGAAGCAGGGGATTGGAAGCAGGGTGGTGGTGGTGGTGGGCGCCGCCGAAAAAGTGGAACTCCGGGGAAGTGGGTTTCCCGGAGACTGGAGGCGGCGGCGGCGGCGGGGTGTCTCTGGCGGCGGCGGCGAAGGGGCGGGCGAGGAAGTCCTGGAAAGCGACGGGGATGCGGGGCCCGCGCCTGAAGGGGAGGGATGAGAGGTTGATTTCGTCCCAGAGGTCTTCCATGGCAATTTGGGTAAGTTCTGGGGGCTTAAATGTAATAATTGAAGAGTTGGAGAGGTTGAAGATGAAGAATGGGAAGAAATGGCACTGTTTAGGACTAAATATAGCTGAAGAAAGAAAGATGCCCCCCCCCCCAAAACCTGTATGTCTGGTCAAGGTCATCAATTTATTTATTTAAATTGATTGTACTTGAGCTATAGTACCTCTCTAGTTAGGGATATCTCTTACTTGGTCAATAGGGATGTAAATATGAAGTTGTAAAATGTATGTCACTTTTGGTAAAATCAGGTTAAATTTAATCTTTTTTATAATTTATTTTATTTAATAGATATAAAAAAATTAAATCTACATATATTTAAAACAAAAGTTGACAAAAATATTTTATTTTATCAAATAATCAATTAAAATGCAAAAAGAAATACGCATCTATGAAGGTTCATCATGAACCTTAAGTCAATCTTAGAGCATTGGAAATACGTATGAAGTCCCGTGGCTTCAAACCAGGGCTTCAAACTTTTTTTTTATGTCACGTCAGCTTTAACTTACACCAAAAATTCACTGGAAATGGTTTTGAAGCCCCGGGCTTCAAACCTTCATTTTTTACATTTTAAAATATACATCTTCTAAATTTAAATTAATAAATTTAAATTAATTTATTATTTAAATTAATCGTAATGAGACTAGTGCATTAACAAAATTACATTCATTAAAAAAAATCGTACATTCATAAAAAAATATTCAAAAAAAAATTACATTCATTAAAAAAAATATTACATAAAAAAAAAACTAGTACAAAAAAATAACTAATTATTCGAACGACTAAAGATATGTTCGATCAAATCCGCCGTTAGTGCATTGTGAATCTATCGGCTTCAATTTTTTTGGCGGTTGCGTCGTTTCTTTTCTTCGGTGATTTCTTCGTACATATGCACCTCCTCGTCCGGGTTGTATTGACAAATCACAGTCCCATTATCCTCTATGATCATATTATGAAGAATAATACATGCGTACATGATATTCCTCGTTTTTGTTTGAGAATAACATTTCGACGGACGATCTAGAATGTGTCATTTACTCTTCAAGACCCCAAAGCTCAAAATAATATCCATGCTTGTACAATCGTGGAATAATCTGGATATATTTCATCGGCCAAATAATATCCATGCTTGTAAAGCGTCCCTCTAAGCTCAAAAGAGGAGGTCATCTTCCCACCATTGAATACAATTCGTCGCGAAACAATGAAAAAAGAAAGCTCTTCTTTCATCGTCGGAAGATTAACCCATTTTTAAAATATATTTTATAAATATTTATAATAAATAATAAATATTTTAGAGAGAATATAAAGAGAGATGTGTGAGAGAGATGTATGAGAAAGGGGATTTTATAAGTTTTTTTTAAATTTAGAATT